GTATATATATATGTATATCTCAATAATAATTCTTCATTATTGTAATACTATATCGGAATTAATTTCTCTTTTTCAGTTTTTCGCAAGAAAAGCCTGCCAGAAGGAAATATCAAGTCGCTGCTGTTCGGAGAAGCCGCGCGCAAATTGCAAAAAGATTTTAAAACCATTCCACCGCCTCCCTTCGTAAGTCTGGGACACGACACGCCGCCGCTTTTAATGAAGAATAACGTGGGCAAACAAAATTATCCTACCTTCGAGTTTCGCGGAAAGATTTGGGATAATTTCAGTTTCGATATCCAGGCGATACTAAAAGTTCTAAAGTAGCTACACGTATATACAACAATTCAGAAGAATGGGTTACCAGGGCTTGCGTTCAGATTCCCCACCTGGATGCACCTAGGTATCATTTTATCCTTGTTGCTTATCGAATGGTAAACAAGGATAATATGAGACCTGGGTGCAGCCAGGTAGACAATTTGGACGCATCTCAACATAGGAGAAGTGCAGATATCGTGTTAGATTCGATATCTCGAATTAGATTCGAGAACTATTAAATTCATCTATTATTTTATCTATTTTTTTAAATCTTTGTTGGTCATAAACAGTCATGCGCGTTTAAAATGTGTAACTATGTATTCTATTCGCGATCAGATATATTGCCTAATATTGATGAAATCGATATTAGATGGTATCGAAATTTTATAAGTTTGAATTAGTTTTTAGTTGTTCTCGAAGTATTATTATGCTCTTTATTGTTGTGTATATTATTTGCGTCATCTGAGATACAATTCTATCAACGTGATGATAAACCGAATGCAAATTCAACATCTCGAATTTGCTGTTTATATGGAGAAGAAACTGATTGTAGAGGAAGATCTTATCAGAAGAGAAATATTAAGCGTTCTTTTTCGTGGAAGCTGTAAATTGCAAATTGCATACAAGTTTTCAAAAGAACATTATTTGCAGATTTGAAACGTCATAGATAAAATTTGTCGATTTTTATCAAATCTTGATAATTCAATATTTTCGACAAGACGATAAACTGTACGAAACAGGATATCCTTAAATTATATATATTGTACAAACAATCGTAATAATCCATATTTATAGCTATAGAAAGGCGAGATTACAGCGCAGCAAGTAACGTGATATTATACATTTCGATTTTGATATCAGCACTTTTTGGCCGAACGAAAGTCTATTATATATATATATTTTTTTTGTTTTAAGTAAATTGACGTTAAATTAGCGTTAATTGAATTAACGTTTATTAACGTATAATGTATTTGTAGAGGATATTGAGGACGATTATCAGGACAAAGAGAACCAATAAGACTGGGCCGATAAAGTAGAATATTTTTTCAAAAACACGACCGCCCGTCTGCACACTTTTGATAATTTCGTTATTCAATTCAAAGACTATTTTACTTTCTTCGATAAGTTTATTTTTCGTGTCCTCGTCCAACGTCTCTGCGATTCTGTTCATCGACTCGCGCAGGTCGCGCTTCAACTGAAATATACTGTTCTGCCCAAAGTCCGTGACATTGCTACCGTCGCTCGGCGGTTGCGCTTTGAAGGGCGAGATCTTTTGCACGATCTGCCGTTTTTTCCGCAGAATGATACCGCCGCTGAGGAGACCCATGTAAAGGTGATAGATGTACGCCATTAGCAGAGTGGGATCCGTGTCTTCCACTTCTCGCAAGCGCATCAGATATTTGGCGACGCTATCCCTGAGGTTCGCAAAACGTTTAAGATTAAAATTTCTTTTTGTGGTAATAATTATCTATTACCAGGTCACTATTGTAAAAGACTGATATCTGTATTACTTCATTGTAAGCGAAGGAGATTGACATAAAAGGATTTTATTTTCACAATACTGATCGTACGTGTCCTCTACTGTATGTGACAGAGCGTGTACCTAGGACTGTAGTTTTTCCTCCACCCTTTTCCCAAGTAGTGATCAAGATCGCGCTCGAAAGCCTCGGTACGTTGCAGCTCGCTGAGCGGAAGCAATCCAATTTTGGTGTTCCTCAATCTAATCATCGCACCCTCCAGGTAGCGAAAGACCTCGTAGAAAACTAAAAGCCCATCAGCCCATACGGAATCGTCGAGGAACCCTAGTTGTAGCGCACAAAGACTATGCGTTAAAAAACTGAGCATTGTAGTCATTACATCGATAGCGATCATTGAACCAGACTCTTTGTTGCGAGAGAGCACGCATCAATAAAATCTTACGTGACATTTAGATATATGGAGCATCTAATCAGTCGAGTCACAGGATTTATTTTACTCATATGTTATTAATATATTTGCCAAGTGATAGAAGACTTTAAGAATTGATAAACAATGACCATTGAAAGCACAAACAATGGTCACATATTATATATATATATATATATATA